TTATGCTTCGATTAAACTGTCGCGCGAATATATCTTTTATATGTATACATAATCTTAATACAAGGGAATCTACTAATACTTTGTACTCTTTTTCTTTCTTTCTGCTAGCTTATACTTTTTCTAATATTTTTATTTTATTCTATAATAGAGATATAGAATTTGTGCGAAAAATATATGAATTATTTTATAAATATTCTTTTTAAATACTAGAAAAAATATCAATAATAATATTAATTAAATAAATAAATGCAAAGATCGTTGGGAAAGCTATATTTGAAATGTTTATATTTCAAACAAAAATGTAGGAATGACAGTGTTCAATAAAGCTGTCATATGTTATTGTCGTCGTAATTTAAAATGACAAATCACTCTGCATATTATTCGATAACCGCCATCGCGACATTTTCTTTTCGTTCAGTGATCTCATCGTCTACTCGTTAACGTGTGTTTGGATTATGAAAACTATATTTCCGTCGTCATAATAGTAAAATTATTCCATTTGCGAAAATTGTAATAATTACAAGTCGTATACGTATTCACATATACGCTTTAGTCTGTCACAATTAAAATTATCTAATCTCTAAATTTTATAAATATATATCGGTATATATAAAAGTTTAGATTTACAGACAGTTTTAGCGTACAAGAATTCCGTACGTAGCTTTTTAATTGCTCGATACATTCGTTTGTATTAACATAGTACTGTATACTAATTAAATTTGCAAGTAATGAGTGCCGAGTGTTTTCACGCAATTTTAGATCGCTGCAAGAATATTCATAATTCATAATTTTTTCTGCTCTCCCTCTCCTCTTTTTCTCTCTCCTATTAAGGATTCAATTGTAAAGTATCCGCTCGTGTGGTCGAACCATAAATTCTTCAAATTATAATAATTTACATTTTCAAAATTACAAGATGTATTGTCTTAATTATACGTTGTAATTCGTCTTACCGAGTGATGAATTTTTGAGTATTCGCGAGACCGCACGTGTACGTTCATCGAACTCAGAAATTACCAAGTTCGAGAAGTGGCACGGATGGTTGCTGACCAAGGGCAGGAAATTTCCGACTCTAGCCGCGGTCGAAGCGGGTGGGAGACACGGACGAGGGGAGCAGGTCGGGCGGGGTGGTGAAAATTTCAGCCTGCCGGTGGCCCGAATTAAGCGTCTAATTGTAAAGGCGACATGTGTGAGGGAGGGAGAGAGCCCCGGGGGTGACGGCGGAAAGTTGGCGCGACGAGCACGATAGGGGCACATAGGTCGGCCGGAGGTGAGAAGGTGGCGGGGGTGAAGGTAGCAATTAACTTCTCCTCGCGAGATTAGAGCGAGATATTACGAGATATCGAGCGACTTAACGGCAACACGCGAGAGACTTCAAAGGCAGTAATAAACTGCCTCTAATGAACCCCTTATCGCCGGTGCCGCCGTCCTCCCTCCCCCAACTCCTCTTCTTCGTTTCCCTCAGCACCTCCGGCGACCTACCATCTACGTACGTGCCGCCCTCAATGCGATGCGGGTTGAATCGAGCGCGGAAAATATATCGCGTTCTCTTTCGCGCGAATACGATTGACTCTCTTTCTATTATCATCGTTGCTATTCCTGCTACGCTATTATTTTCGTCACTCAAACGTTATAGCATTGTTATTTACATGAATGAAATGTGTGTTTCATTGTAATGTTTCATCATTCATTTCTTTTCCTCGGCTTAAATTAAACTCTGTCTCTCCTTCTTTCTCTCATCTTTTTTGAATAAAAAATTTCTTATATTAAAAAAAATACACGTACATATGAGATTTTTTTAATTCACGAAATACTACAAAATCATACATATTCTCACATATGAATGTATTGATTTCCACAATGCGATGTGATTACACGAATGGCAATTATTAATCATCCTATTATCGTAAAGAGCTCTACCTTGGCCTCGATTTCTTCCAATTGATTGAAAAATAAAAAAATGAGAGCCAATGACGAAATTATTAAAACATTGTCCGTCGCGAAAAGGATCGCGAAGGCAGTCTATTCGTCTTCCCGTTCGACGGTTCGACGGTTCGACGGTTCGTCGCCGTCGCTCGTCGCGGCACTGCGCGGCATGGCGCGTCGCCGAGCTCCGTCAAGCCCAATCATGTTGATTCAACAAAGTACCTACCTACCAAATTGCTGGAATTTGGTATTCGGCCAGAAAGATGGAGGGAGAAGGAGCCAGCGGAGCAAGCTAGAGGGCTGGAAGCCGTCTGATTGCACATCTAGGACAAACCAGCATCACGACGACGTCGCTCCAGCGGAAAGCCGAGCGATGATTGGCCGCACTCACTCACTCATACACACATACACACACACACACACACACACACACACACTCATTCACTCTCTCTCTCTCTCTCTCTCTGTCATTCCCCTTTTCCTCGATCCCTTCAACCCCTCGTCCGTACGCCCGAAACCCGATGGCGTCGGGGGTTGGGGGTGATTGGACGCATCTCGGTGATTGTGGCACCCACCATCCACCCCTCTACACTCTCCCTTCTCTATCCCTCTCTCTCTCTCTCTCTCTCCTTCCGTTCCGTCCTGGTCCACCGCGCCATCCCTCCTACACGGCTGTAAATCGAGTTTACCCTCTTGCCGTGGCTCAGCCCTTCAATCAAACTGATTGAAACATTCCTTGAATCCAAAAGAAACGAACCGCCATCCCTTCTATCTCGCCTCTCCTCAACCTCCCCGCTATCTTTCCGAATCGCACCGCGCGCGCTATCCTCTCCATCCATCTGTCTATCCACTCGGCTCGCGCGGATATATCCGTCGTTCTCTTTTCGACGAGGCGGTTGCAGTCTCTCGCGTATGAGACACCGATGGTGTGTTTCGAGACAACCGGTTGGTTTCAATTCCGACAGTAGTTTGATTGTAAAGCTGTGCGGGGGTATAAAGCGCTTAGCGTGATATGATGTACCGAATGTTCCGCAAGAGCGTGTCATTGTTGCCTCAAGCGAGGATCATAAGCGAGTCTGATACATGTGTGTATCTTCTCAAATGCCGATTTGCGTCGATTTAGATTAACTATTAATTGTAATTTTTATAAATATATTTTTTATAAATAAATATAACAGAAAGAGAATATCTAATGTGTCATATTTACATGTGTGCGTGTGTATGTGTGTGAGAAAGAGAGAAGAATGTCCTATATAATCTTCGTTATTCTTGTAAATTCCTTCAATTTATTCCTCATGTTTCTCTGACGTATTTGATATTTTTTCTATTTCTTATTTTTAATTGATTCCAAAGGAATAAATTCTCAAGAAAGATATGTCGCGTCTGATTTTTTGAGAGCAAGAGCCAGTGGGCATCGCGATGGACGACGTTAGACCCATCCCGACGACGGAGGCGTCTCGTAGTCAAATATTGATACTAGGCCGGACTAAATCGCTCGCCTATGCCAACAGATTAGAACGTACGTGTGCTATGGTCGAGTAATAGCAATCGCGCGATAAGGAAAGGACCGGTGAGATTGAAATACTAATGTTAGCGTAGCGATCGACGTGATCAATCACAAAACTACCTGCTCGTGTCTATATCAATGCCTTCCTTTTACTTTTCTCTCTAGTGTTCTCTTATTACATAATAATGTTTTAGCTACGGTATTATTATTATGAAACACAAATTGGAGGAGCGTGTTTAACTGCACGTAAAATGCAAGAAATGTCGCTCCTCGCGCGGATATAACTAGTTGATGAGCAAAAAAAAAAGATTGACAGTTCCATTACCTCCGGTACGTGCGGCTCGGCCAGGTTGTGCCAATCTATTTCGGGGGGACTAACTAAGTTCAGCGTCTGTTTCTCATTAAATTGCGCTCTGACCTCGAATCCTCTAAATTTGGAACGGCTACGCCGATTAGGTGCATATTCATCGCGACGCGGCAAAGTTTTCAGCCATTCATTGATAAACGATTGGCGAGAGATGTGCATATTGTGCCAAGTATAATGGAATTATAATAGGTGATCGGACAAAATGCAAGTGTCGAAAAAACGTCGTGAAAAAATTCATCTTATTTTCCCCTGACGTCTTTTCGATACTCGTATCGTTTGGGTAAGCGATATTCGCAAGATGTAAATATCGCAATTATTTTCCATCATAAAATTTACATTATTAGAATCTATCAATTTTTGTATTGATACAAATTTTTAATTATCTTATATATCGTGTATTTTCGATATTTTAATTTTCTACATTCCTATTGCTCTGAATTTTAATTTTCCAATTATCTAAGTCGGAATTTATACGTATGGAACGGAATTTACATTTGATTTTGAAAAATTTTCACGCATATATAAATCTCTTTGAGTTTTCAAAGAGATTGAATCTATTGTTTGACATATTTTAACAGCAAGATGAGTAATACCCGACCAAGGCTATCAAAAAAGAAGGCGAATATAATTACAAATTATGACGTAAAACAGCAAGATCCTAGTTCGCGGCTATTTTGCACGAGAGGAATGTTGATTACACGATATTGGCTTCCAGGAATCCTGGCGCGGTATAAATGAACGCGCGGCAAGTACCACGATAAATTAGTTGTAATGACCCGGCACAATAACAGTATTTATTATTAATAACGAAACGTTGAGCGCGTCGTTATTAGCTTCAAGAAATTAGACAGCGCGATTCCCGCGGAGCCGCGCTTGCGCTGACAAAACGGAATATTCGATGCCGTGTGCGACGTAGTATCTAATTTAATGGAAGCGATAATTTCTAGCTTATTCATGAGTGACCATCGTTATCAGCTCTTCAACGCGATAAGCGGCGATACGCGAAGAAGGCTGCGTTCCGGTGTTTACGTAGTGTCGCCTAAATACCGAGAAACGCTTCTTATATACAACCGGAAGAGAGTTTGCTTTCTTTTTTTTATTTCAAACAAATTTTTAAAATATTTTTTTAAAATATTTGTCATCAATCCCGATGACAGATGTCGGTACGTTTAACAGGATAAGACAAACAGACGGCGGACTTACCGTCTGTAGTCGGCCTTGCAGAGAATCATGCCGCTTTTGGTGTAGCAGGACTGGCCGATTTCCCCCAATACCACTTGGCAATACGTGCACTTGAGGCAGCCAATGTGCCAGTACTGATCCATCGCTAGCAACAGCCATCTTTCCACTATTTGTACACCGCAGCCGGCGCAATGCCGAAGGCCTGTTGACCCGCTTGGACCGCCTTCTTGCTACAATGGGACATTTTCGTTTCGTTAATCGCCAGACGAATGTATACCGCAAATTTATAAATAGCTGAGAGACCAGACTGATTTATATCGGAATCAAAATTATTAGCGTTACGTTCTCCCGACTCGAGACAGCGGAGAAAAATAGTCGATTATGAAATTCAAACACGAGTTTAAAGATGATAAAGACACGACGGTGATAACAAGTATTTTTAAACAAGACGCCAAGAGAGTTGCAACACGTCTTAGAAATCATTCCTACCCCATTACAAGTAGAAATTCAGGCATCGTGGTAATTAATGCGAAACAGAAAGTCATTAACGGGCACTAAATCATTACGACGTCTTAAGTGCGCGCTTATTATGAATGCTTACTCGTGATTATGCAAACACACGAACGTAGGCGAATGTAACTCTTCACTCGCGGGATTTACAACTTACTCACTAATTTCACTTTGAACAATATTGCTCAATATTGTATTATTGCCTCAGTTTATCATTAAATCGGCAAAACAACAGCAACAGGCTGCTTACATATTTGATGATTTCTCTTTATTTACATTTAAATAAAACCGTAACGATGAAGAAAATGAGAAAAATCTACGTATGTGAAAGTAGTTATTTCGTTTGTATCATTTGTTTAAAAACAAAAGAAATTGTTGAGTAATTAAAGAATTCGAGCAAACGATTGGATCGATTTGATAGGTAATACAAACCAAATGCATTATTATCGGAGCGAATATACTTTTACACATTGATTTACAAATTTAATATAAAGAAACGCGTATTTCGCCTTTTTCTAGATTTTTATTATCAACTTGAAGAGCATAATAGTAACGCTAAGATGAAACAACAATAAAAAAATATTTTGTTATGAATAAATCTATAACGAGATGATTTATAATGATATATTGCACTGCACTGCATTTAACTCTGATGATATAGTAATAATCTCTCATAATACAAGATGATTCTAAAATAGCAACATTTATTTATAGCACGTTATGCAATTTCGCGATCAATCGGATACGCACAGCAATATTCGACTTATATCGCGGATACAAGAGCGGATTAATTGTCGTGTTAAGGAGCGTCCACTCTAGAAAATTTCCTACATTATGCTTACTTTGATTTCGGTCTTGATATTAGCGGGAAACCACTTATCCATCCGCGCAATGGTGTTATAGTGATACGGATATTGGACTTCCATGATACACTCACTCCGTGTTCCCCACAGGACGAAGAAGAAAAGAAAGAAAAAAAAAGGAAAAAAAAAAGACGATGAAAAATCCGATCCTGGGCCGCACGGATTCACTCGGCCAATGGATATCACTCGGCCTCGAACAACAAGTTCCCGTTGCGGTACACTCACTTTCCCCCACCGCGATCGACGAGATTTCAAAGATCAGGATCCCCTGGTCAATTTTCTGGTTGTACGGAACCAACGGCGAAGCGCCACGATCACGAGCAACGAGCAAATGTTCACAAAACTCGCCGCTTTCGGCGACGCGTTCGCTTGCGCGATGCAGTCATGGACGCGCGCGCAGAAAGGAAACGAGAGAGCGAAACGAAACGAAGCGGAGCGCAGACAGGACCCAACTGGCTGGTGCTGCGGGCCCCCGAATGCCTTGCGGGCCTGCGGGTTCAGGTACCTTCGGTTGAGTGGGGAGGATAAAAAGGCAAGCCTAGAAAGGACCCAACCAACGTTGAGAGAGAATGCCAGATAAAGATGGGAAGAGGGAACGACGAGGCGAGGGGGAGGGGAATCAAGTGAACCGGGAGGGGAAGTGAACGGAGGATCCGTTCGTGCGTGAGAGAGAGAGAGAGAAAAAGAGAGAAAAGGAGAACGAGAAAGATAGAGTCGACAGCAGGGAAGGGAAGAGAAAGAGGAAGGGGGATCTTTTCCATAGCAGCGGTTGAGAGAAAAAGAGAATGGAAAAGAGACAAGGAGCGAGGTGGAGGTGTAAGAGGGGTATATTCTGGGACAGGCTCCCTAAGTGCCGTGAGTCTTACAAAGTTGTATAAAGCGAAAGTTGCAGCAGATTTTTGGATACGTTATATATTATAATGATTAAAAAAGTAGAAAATAAAGCACAAGCATAGCAAAGTAAAAATAAGAGATAAGATAAGAAAAACAATACAGAAAAAGAAAAAAAATAGTAAAAGAAAATGAGAAAAAAAGAGAGAAAATAAAACACCAAAAAAAAAACAAAAAAAATGTAGAATTGAAAATTCAAAAAAAAGACGTAAAATCAGAGGAGCGGAAAAATAAAGAGACGAGAACCAGAAATGAAAACAGAGAAGGAGAAAACGTAAGTGCAAGGGAGAACATAAGGATCTCTAGAAAAGAATAAAAAGAAGAGGAGACCAAAATTAGAAATACAAAAAAATACAAAACGATAAAAAAGCAGTAAAAGAATACAAGAAAGAAACAAGGAAGATGGAATAACAAATAAGAAAGGAATTCAATAGAAAAAAGGAAAACAAAATCACAATGCAAGAAAGAAGTCAAAACAGAAGAAAAGTGAAAATCTAAGGCAAAGATGGAAAAATTATAAATGAAAGAAATTCAGAGATACATTATTCAAAAAAATTCAATTACTCTTCAACATATATTCTTAAATTAAAAAGCAAAGAATTAAAATATCTATAATTTTCTATTATTAAAACTAAAAAAAAGAAATGATAATGGTACAATATATTTAAGATAATAATCTGAGCAACTAAAAACGTTTGGAAACAAATTTTAGAATTTAAAATAATTATAAAGTTTAAAAAATCAAGAATTTTGTAATGCAAGAAAAGGAAATATTGTATTTTTCCAAAATGAATACAATAACGTGTTATTTTTTGATAACTTTTTCATATTCTATTCTATACTTTAGATGTGTAAAAAAATTTCAAAAATTTGATACTTTTATTATTATCGAATCGAAGTCGGCAAAGTAGGATTCTATAATCCTATAATCATTATTTTTTTCGCAAAAGAAAATTAATTAAATAATTTTTCAAATTTTAATAGTAAATATCAAATTTTATGTATTATATAAAAAATAATACAAATAAAATTAGTGATCAGACGAATTCAGCAAATGAGAAATTTTCAAATTTATACAGCGCATTAATTAGTGTACTGATATGCAAAGTGAAAAGCAATAAGTACTAAAAAAACGATTCACGAATTAGAGTAACAGATGTTTTCGGATACTTAAATGGGAACCGGAAGAGAGGTGTACAGTCAGAGCATTTATAAGACGAATGAAGAATAAGAGTTGAAGAAGCCACGTACAGTCTCAAGAAGAGACAGGATCTTGTATGAGGGAGAGATAGAAAAAAAGAGAGAGAGAGAGAAAGAGATAAGGAGAAAGAACAGATATAAAGCATCAAGCGGAAAGCTGCAAGAGGAAACCCCGCGCGCAGACTCCCCTCCGTCTTTATTCAATTATATTTCTCCATCATAAATGCCTATATTGTTACGTTTGTCAATAGCGAGGTAAGTGAGGGTCGGACCAACAATATCTGCTGAATCGTAGTCTGTGATCCTGCGTTATGCCGGTCCTGGGTCCTTTGCGAAGGGCCCAGGGGCTCTTCGCCGTGTCTTTGGAACTACCTGTACTCCGCTTCGCTCCATCGCACGAAAAATTAAATTTCAAAATCGCGCATATATAATGCACAAAAAATATCTAAAATAATATCTAAAATGACATTCTTAGGGGAGACGCAAGTAATTCTATCAAATTCCTTCCAGGTTCCTAGAAAAATACTCACCTTGAGCGTGCAGTTATTATTGTGATTGACCGGTGGATACGCGGGATGTCCCGGCATGTGCGGATGGGGGTGTCCGGGATGATGCGGATGATCCGGCATCATGCCGCCGCCACCATGATGATGCCCGTTGCTGCCCATGCCCTGTCCGGGCTGCAGGGCGCCATAGGGGGTGGCGGGATCGCCGGCACCGCCGGCATGCGGGGGTGAATGCGGGCTGGGCAAGTCGGGGGTAGTCGTCGTGCCGCCGCTGCCACCGCCCCCGCTGCCGCCGCCGCCTCTTCCGCCGGTTCCGTATGCGTGATGCGGCCCGCCGGGCCCCGGATGATGCGGACTGCTCGAGAGCGAGGGATGGTGAGGGTAGGCTGCGGAATGGCCCGGATGGTGGGGGTTCATGCCAGCGGTTAACGCGCTCGCCAGTTTGACCGATGAGAGGGTGGGCTCAGAGAGCCCACCGACGGTTTCCAACGGCGAAATAGAGACGGAAAGAGCGGCTGTACGGCGCTCTATTGAATCCTGGCACCGGAGTTCTTCCGGCACTTTGGTGAAACCTGCAACGGTAAAATGCAGCCTTTTGTTATTAAACTGATTGATTGAAATTTTATATGAAAATGTGTTTGTTTAAATTTTACAATCATTGTAAATAAGGATTGTTTTGTACCTATTTTCAAAATATTGAGAATTTAGTAAAAATTGTACAGAATCTTCAGTACAATTTTTAAATCGATTCACTAAAGCGTTCACAAGTTATAAGGATTTTCATTTGCACCGAATTAATATGTGTTCTTGTGGGAAACGTATAACCATGTCGATTCGAATGACAAAAACACATGGAAATAATATTCAGAATTTGTTTAAAATTTGCAAAAGTTTAGATACAGAGGAAATATTTAGTCAAATAATATTACAAGTACTAACTGGTTAAAAAGATATTAAATATAATTCAATAAAGTTAGCCATGTATCTGTCACAAGGCGAAATTCTCTGCCAAAAGTTAATCATTTCGATTAACAAAATTCGCAATATTTCAGTACAAACGCAATAAATATTAAAATATACATCTCTGCACTGTAGTTAAGATCAAATTGTATTCCACACAATTTCTTACTCGAAATACACCAAAAGTAGATATATTCGTCAATATTGATTTTCAGCTACTTTTTGCTGGGATTGTACATACAAAACATCCTTAAATTTATAAATGTAAGAGATCGAAATACATCGACTATTTTTCTCGGAGATAATTTAATTAATAAGAAAATAATAATAATAATTTATAATTAATAATAACAAGCTTTCTTAATTGTCGTAATTAATATTCTATGGAGTATGCTGTCTTGCATATTATTTTCGCTAAATTTAGAAAATCTTATCTACGTGATTGTTTATGCCACGAGGATCCTCGGATCGAAATGCAAACGGGAGGAAATTTTTTTAATTTAAGGGTTCTTTTTTTAGAATTTATGTAACTTGACATATTATTAAAATCATGAAAATGTGCAAGGCATGCCCATTCTAATTAACAATAATAGTCCTAGTAACTCAGCGGGTTGCCAATCAACCTTCCATTCGAAACTTCCGTCTTTTTGTCCCTCGGGACAAAAATAATGAGCGCCCTTTATTCGAACGATTTTAAGAGCGGCCAAAGGTCTTGTAGAGGATTCTTCCCCGGATTCTTAGCCCTTGGTTTTTTTCCAGTAGAATCCATCGACTCGCCATGTATGTACATGTGCATAACTACTGAATAATAAAACAATGCTTTTTATAGCAATAATCGATAATAAATTCGCATTCACGTACATAATATTGAAAAATTCTTTCAAGGGAGAGAACGCGTCTCGTTCGCTTTATTTCGATAAATACAGTCCCATTGTACGCGGGGAAAGTAAAAATATCGGTGTGCCACCCTCGGTGGGAGAAAGTAATTAGCGCGCGCGCGCGCTGAAGCATATATTATTCCACGATGCAGGCGCACATCGGTACATTGGAACACACTCAGGCTCTTAATACGTATTTAATTAAGTATGCCGTGATGGAGAGAGAAAGAGAAAGAAAGAGAGAGAGAGAGAAGGAGAGAGAGAGAGAGAGAGAGAGAGAGAGAGGAGCGTAGGAGAACGCGCGGAGAAGGGCAGACAGCGGGGGTGGGTGGAGGGGAGAGTTTATAGTGGATATCAGTATGGGCAACCATAACTCTCGCGCCTCCGCCAGCGAGCAGCGTGCCACTTATACGAGCACCTACCGCGATGGAATTTCATCCTCGCCGTTACCACATAAATCTCCGATGCATTAATGCCCTTACCGACTCGCTCGCTCCGCGTTTCTACATGTACATACGTCCGCTTCTTCTTAATGCGGTTACTTAAGTTTCGCGGATGTCGCGCCGGCACTCCGGTTCATGAATCCACCAGCAATTTGGATTATCGTGGATTATCATGTCAATTAGTAACGTTCAATCACGGATAATCCGTCGATCGTAAATCAAGGGTAATCGAGTAGTTAGATTACGATACATTTTTTTTTTTCTAAAAATACAACTAAAGCGCAGCACCTGTCGCTACGAGTAAATTGAAAACAAATGAGGCGTGCAGCAGTTGTTTGTCGATCGATTCATCGGATCGGACTATTGAAATCGATTCGCGCGTCGATTTAATTTCAAGGATAGACCGATGCTCTCGATTCGTTCGTTATCAGCGCGCTTCCATGCCGTTCACGAGGCCTGACCTCTCCGGAGACACTCGCTGCTCCTCGCGGAAGCGCGATAGTCGAACGATAACAAGATGATAACGAGGGAATACACCGGTAATTACCGGAATGATAATGACGAGGAGGACGACGAAAGCGCGTGGGCGGAGGAGGGGTGCGAGGGGGAGGAGGGAGAAAGGCAAAAGAGGAGGGCGATCGGCTGTGATAGGGATAATTAACGATCGCAATCGTACGAAAATGAGGACAGGGCGAATGCGACGACGACGATAACGAGCGGTCCAGCGATCTTATTAGCGATAAGCGCCGATAACGAGAACGCCCCGTTCTGTACGACAGCGAACGGAAAGAAAGTCAGCCTAAGGATTAATGGCGATCCTCAGCTAACGGGGGAGGAATGTTCCGGTGAATGAATCCCCCGATGGCGATTTGCTTTTCGACCCTTTCAAGGACGCTTACATCTTCTTCCTCATTTCGAATGTGAAAACGGCTACGTGTGACATTAATTTTTGAAAATATAAAATATAAAGCGAATTAGGTACAACTGAAAACAGTTTAATTGCCACGGAAGGAGGCATTTAATCCTCTCTTCCGTCCGAAGAAAATCTTTGTCGATCGCTCGTGGTTTATACCATTCGCATCCGAATTGAATTTAAATATTTCTCGGACTCTGACGAACCCTCTTTCGCGAATTGCCGAGTCGTAAAAGTCTTCCTCGCCCAGAACTCGTCTCTTTATACCGTGCGATCGCCACCTCGGAAACTGCTGTTTCATTGGAATCGGCAATATTACGAAATCGTTGGACGTTATTCTTAAGGACTAATAAAATGGCGAGGAATAGTCCGCGTGGTCCCGCGCGAAATTAATATTGGCCCTACGGTTTCATTCTGAGGCAGTTTAATTTCGTGTGTTTCTTTACGATCGGAAAGGAAATATAGATGCGCTTCGACATCTCCGGAAAGTCAATCTCCAAGAATAACACCATCCCCGAAGACGAATGTTGGCCAATAGTTAAATTAAAATGTTATCGTGCGTCTTAATTCTATCAGTCATCGATCAAATATTCTTCTTTCCTAAATGAAAAACATAGCGTCAACAAATACACATGTGCGTGATTTCAATTATTAATATATATTTTTCTTTAATTCAATATATATTCGTTACTTTGTAAGAAAAATGCAACTATGATTATTACTAAAAAAATATTAAATTATGCGAGTCTTTGTAAAAGAATTCTGGTAATGATACGATTAAGATTCGCACCTCGAGCAATTTTTCGAAAAATTTCAAAAATTTTGCTACAGCTGGACAATGACAATGAAACGATATTTGTATCTGATAAAATAAAAAATAAAATAAACTTTAATGGCATAATAAACAACCTCGTGAATCCACACACAAGTTCCGGAAAGCATTCTAGAAGTGCGTCAAAACCAATCGGGAAGAATTCTTAAAATTACAACCACTTTGTCACGACTATAATGTTGAGAGAAATTTGTGTCTAGAATCCCTGGTAATTTATTACGGATTTACAACTTTACTAATTCATTTAATTAGACCAGCCGTGACTTTCTGCAAATAAAGATCTATAATATAATTCTCCCAGACAATCTTATTTTATACCGATAAAGTAAAATAACTTTCGTTCTCTCTCTCTCTTTTTATCTACTTTTTATTTTCTATAATAAATTTACAGAGCTTGTATTTAAGGCAACTTACAATGTTCTAATCTCCTTTTTCGGAAAAATATCAAATGTCTTAGATTATTGCTCTGGTTCCGCACGAAAAAAACATGGTCATTCCCTCAGGACACGCCCGAGGCGAGCAGGGATCAATGTGGAGATGTAATGATAAGTTCAGGCCGGTAATCACCGGTGAGACAAGGACAGCACTGGAAGACACTGAAAATAATCTAATTATTGCCGGGGACGATTATAGTGATTAGGCACGTTGCGGCGGCCTCTTCCCTGTTTGCCACGCACGGTTCACCTATTATAAGTGTATTCTAGGAGGGAGCACAAATGAAAAGGCGCGCGCGCGCGCGCGCGGGCGAGCTCTCCTCCTCGGACCAATGAAACAGGCGGACGGAGAGAGGAACAACGAGGGACCACGGCACGCAATTACCGAGGAATCCAGACGAAGGAAGAAAGCGGCTTTCTTCCATGTATTGGCCCGCCATGTTCGTTGAATTTGTTTGACGCAGTCCTTAGAAATTTCAAATCGGAACAATTCGAGCGCTAAGTTGTTCTTTGCTTCTTCTCAGAGATGTTTACGAGTCGGACTTGGTTTGTTAATTTTACAGGAATTTTTAGGTTCATTACTTTTTACGTTCTCGAATAAAGAGACTCATCGGCTTGATAAATTCTTCTCATTTTCTTATGACCATAAAATGAAAATAAAAATTGTCATCTAAAAAGAATATTAAAATTACAAAAAAGAAATAATTTTAAAAGTAAATTTAGAGTTTTGAATCTTTTTAGAAAATCTACTCGGACAAAATTATTAAATAAATAGTACAAATATAGCATGTTAACGAGATAAATAGTATAATATTACATGTGTGTATATCATTTTTATATATTTCTTGAAATTAGAAAAGGATAAACTGCTAGCAACACTAATTAGTCGATGGAATGTTTCACCGAGGAATATCGAGTATTATGGTCGGTTTGAAATTCACATGGCGCAAAGTAACAAACTGCCAACGTTGGATATTTATGGGGACCGTCAAGAGTCGAATCCGGTATCGCCGCCAATATACACTGTTGTAGTTTATATTTAAGTCCCTGCATGCATGTGATATATTTATGTTCCTTCGGAAATGTATCGAGTAACTTTTAAAATTGATCTC